CCAAAAATGGTGGTGAATTAAATTATTTTTCAAAAAAACAACTAGGAATTTTTTCCAAAAAAACTTTTTCAAGCCCCCCCCCCCCCATATATAACTGCTTTGCAGACAGTTATTTTAAAATCAAAGATCCATAGTGTTAAACATCCCCCTTCATAATTCTTTGGTGATTTGTTTTAACAAAACGATTAAAAGACTGTAAAAAACCCTCTATAGCACCAAAAATGGATAACAACATTATAGCCTATTTCCTCCAAACACTCCTTATTTTATTAGGCATTATTTTAATGTTATTCTTAACATCAGTATGCTTTGTGCAAAGAGGTGATCGATGAAAAGTGAAAAACCTTTTAAATGTTATTTATTCTGCAGATGGCACCTGGCATTTACCATGTAAAGAACTTTAAAATGTTTTTCCCATTCATCTTATTGAAATTATTTTCCCATAACATGGGCAATCAGGTTGGAAGATACTAAACTGTTCACGGGTTAGGCTGAACTATCACTGAGTCCAGACCTAGCTGGGCCTTGACACCAAGCTGGAGAAGGCAACACTGAGCCAAAACTAAGCTTTGACTCTGCACACAGTTCCAGCCCAACTAATCAATACACTGCGTTCTTTGAAAAGAACTCCTTGTGGATATTAAAGTATCTTTCCAAGCACTAAACTGGGTGACTCTTCTCCAGTTTCTCCATATATTACTGCCTCACTGGACACTGTCTTGTGTCCTCCTTCTCCCTAATGAAGATTCTTTCTCTCCCCAATGATCATTTTTTAATACACCCAAAACACAACTTCAACACATAAGATAGAAAATAGAGCTTGGGAATTTTGAAAAATGCTAATAATGTGCTAAAAATATTTAACAGAATACAGAGTATTAACTAGCACCTCATTTCTTGATCTTCTGGGACTAGGAAGGACATTTTACGACTAAGGACATTTAAGGACATCACTTTGATCCTAAAGAACAGCATCAACTGGAACTCAGTACTGTGTGTCAGATTGTTGTTTTATGGCACTACTAGGCAATTTCTCCACCCTTGTCTAGGACATCTGACACAGAGAATCAATGTACATGTGCATCTTTGTCTTGATCCCAGATTGTCTTGATCCCAGGTTAGGAGCAACAAAAGGACAAGAATTCTAAAATTCACTTTCTTTAGGAGTCCCATCTAAAATGTCAATGAACATCATATAGCTCTCTTTACCCACTTTGATTAAATAGATAGATAGATAGATAGATAGATAGATAGATAGATAGATATGATATGATATGATATGATATGATATGATATGATATATGATATGATATATAAATATGATATATAAATATTCAAACATTTGCCATACCTTGGTCCTTTCCCACATCCTATTCTCTCGCCTTTGAAATAAACAGCTACAGTGTATGTCCTAGCGTGAGAAGGTCCAACTGTTTGCAGAGTTCTAAACCACAAGACAGACAGCAAAAGAAAACATACTCACCAACACTTCTGAATAGAAATGCAACTATTTTAACAAAGGTCACAGCATATGGATGGACCTTGACAGATTATTTTATGAGGCAATGCCATCATTTCATTGGTTAATATTTATGTATGCTTGGTACAGATTTATACGCATTTTCTCTCTGTCAATCAGTAATTGCTTCTCTTTCCTATATATCCCTCTTCTTTACATACAAAGTTACACTGAGAGCTTACCATCAACAGCATGATATATTTTAGAACAATTTCATACTTCAATTTTATATTCATTTACCTTACCTTCACTGGGGGCTTGCTTCTTATTTGAAAGGGATGGAATATTACACCCTTCATATTTTGCCACCAAGAAATATAATCTGGGTTTAAATGATGGGACACCTTGACAAGAACAAATTGATTCTCTGCAGCCTTTCTCCGTACACATATGCTCAACTGGTACCACCTTTTCTAAAAGCAGCCATTTTGTTAAATACCAAAAAATAAATAAATGAATTCTCTGTTCCTATCCTGTCTGAGCACAGCATGAATAGAAAACTACTTAGAAAGCAGGTAGGAACGTTCACCACTTTCTCTTATGCCCCAGTCTGTGCTAGCACTACAAGCTGAACTTCCCTGTGTGATTTTCCCCGCTTCTCTCGCTTACTGCTAAAGGCACTGTAGATATACCTCTCATAACATTTCCATCATCCATGAAAAATAACTCAGGCAATGCCTATTGCACTTGCAGAAGTAATTGGGTGAGCTGAAGAAGCAATAGCATCCACAATGCCATCTTAGTGGAGGCAGTGAGAACTGTGTGTTTGGGAAAACTGCATGTACCTGCAACTAACAATGTCTACTGTACTTACACCCATCACATGGTCCACATGCGCAAACCTTCATGACTGTATCTCCAATGGTTTAAACTGAATTTGAGATCCAAAGTGTAAAAGTATACCTTGATTTTATCAGGGCAATTGATTCCTTCTTTAAACAAAGGGTATAATGCTTAATTCCAGTCATATGGAAATTAAAAAAAAATGACTCACAAAGTGATAATGCATGTATACAAGACAGTCTCCTTACTTATACAGAGGAATGTCTGGCTCCTTCCCTTCTGTTCTGAGAGTTAGACAGCATTGCTGGAGCTGAGACTTTGGATCATTCCAATCCTGATTTAAGATGAATTCCTAAAATGGGGGGCGGGGGGGGAGATGAAGGAGTAACACCAGTTCACAGGAAAAATGGGTTGGAAATAAGAAAATACTTTAGAATTCAGAGAAAAGCCTTATAAAATGTTATTTTCTCTAAGTACGGGTGGGTTGCAATTAGTGCAAGCTCAAATAGTGCAAAATTCAATTTAGTGTGATTGATAAATTGGAATCAGGTCACATTTAATGCAGGCCAAAATTCAGTTGGTGCGAGGCTAGCACATGTGTGGTTGAGGCTAGTGCATGCACAGTTGCCACTGGAGTTTTAGACGTTGGGGTTTTAGATGTTTTAGTTTGTGCAAAATGGAGGAAAGGAAGTTTCCATCTGAGGGAAGCTCAAAAGAGGAGAGGCTCATTTTGAAGAATTACAGCACAAGTCAAGAGATAGCAAGTACACTCTAGATATGGGCTTATCCTCCTACTGTTATACAGTATTTCCACAAGTCCTTCAAGACCTGGCTATGTGATCAGGCCTGGGGCTCCCAGGGGATCAGGGAGATTTTGCAATGGCTCCCTTATTAATTTTACCCCCTCCTATTTTGTGTGTTTTTACAGTTTTTTTATTTGTAATTGTTTTTATGTATTTATTATTTTGTGTGTTTTTACAGTTTTTTTATTTGTAATTGTTTTTATGTATTTATTATTTTGTGTGTTTTTACAGTTTTTTTATTTGTAATTGTTTTTATGTATTTATTATTTTGTGTGTTTTTACAGTTTTTTTATTTGTAATTGTTTTTATGTATTTATTCTTTTTAATTGTTGTACACTGCCCAGAGTCACCTTGTGTAAGATGCGTGGCTATATAAATATGATAAATAAATAAAATAATGAATTAAAAATTCATTAATAAACATATAAAAGTTTATGTTTAAAAACTTTAATTACCTATTTCTGTTGAGCTGGAACAAATTACCCTATTTTCCATAGACATATCACTTCAAATAGTGCGAATTTGAATAACATGATCACTTTGTGGGATTCATTAACTGCACTAATTGAGACCTACCTGTATCCAAGCCATGAATGTGAGACAAAAAAGATTTAAAACCTGTATTATTACTCAGGGCACACAATAAAAATCTAAGATCAGCTGGGACTCCATTGTCAAGCGCCACTGTGCAGCAAAAGTCAATTTCCTTGCTGTATAACACATACAATCGCTCTGAGACTTACTTTCAGTCGTGGGAAAAAGCAGACATTCATGAAGGTGTGGACGTATTCAAGATCCTTATCTATGTACAGAGCAGCAATAAAGGCTGAGAAAGAAAGAACAACCAAACATTAAAGAAAATTACTTTCTTTCAAACATGCACACAAAAGTTAATACTTTTAGAGAATCTCATAGCAAATATTCCAAGTCAAGGAATGAATGGTGACCTGCAATGGTACATATTAAGACAGTGAAAAAGACAGATAGTTGGGTGAGGTGTGTTTTCACCATCTTGGGAAGAAGGAAAGATCATGAGAAGGAAAAAGACAGCAGGGATATTAAAGCCCACACTATCCACAGAAGGCATATGAAAGACATGGTTTCAGAAGATAAAAATAAAATGAAAAACATGAGCATAGAACTGGCCTACTAATATCTGTTTTCTCAAAAACAAACAGCAGGGAAATGAATATTGGTGTCTTTCAGTCCAAACAACACACACACAAAAGATTCGTGGAGGGGGCTATAGAGAAGCCTGTGCTTCTAGCGATTGCTGTATCTACACAGGAAAGTGTGCCTCTGCCTTGAAGGGTGTGTGTGTGTGTGTGTGCGCGTGCCTCTAAGGATTACAGGTACAAGGGCTATATTCACAACTGGAAGTTTTTTTACTCTGTTAGGACAGCACAATCCACAATGCTACAGTCTCCATCTAGTACAAGTTTGGCTGGGAGAAACAACATGGGATGGAAATGTACATAATGACCTCTGCCTAAATCAGTGTTAAAGTTGCCAAGTTTGAAAAAACACTGGCCTAAATTATGAACTGATGAAATTATTTTCAATCAGTATATTAGTCCAGGTATTTTAACAGAGCTGGCTCTTCAACCTGGTGTCCTCCTTATAGGTTGGGACAACAACTAATTGATTGTGAATTCTGGGAATTATAGCCCAAGGGCTTTTAGAAAGCACTACATCAGGCAAAACCAGAATAAGCTGTTGTATTTTTGGCTCACTATGAATACTTTGCTTTTTTGGAAGGGGAGGGGAGGAGGAATTCAAACTTAAAATTTGAGTTCCATGGAAGATCAGTCGGATTTAACTGTTTAACAGACTTCATTCATGGAAAAAATAGAAAACAAATATCCAGCTAAACTCTGTGGCGTTTCAGTGTTAGACTATGTATTTTTCTTGTAGCTGCTGCTGTTTAACATTTGAAAAACAAATTTCTCCCAGACCAGTCTTCCTCAACCTTGCACTCTCAGGATGTATTATGGCTTAATTTTCAATCAGGGTGCTATCCCAACATATCTGAAGAGTATCAGATCAAGAAAGATGTCTTATTCCCAATCCCAATCAAAGACTTATCTACTTCTGTCCCTGATCCACTAACTGGCAATACCTACTTACTCTTTTCACAACAGTCACTTCTACCTTAACATGTCATCTACCAAGTTTCCGCCAAGGAAAGTTTCACCTTCCTGTCTAGTTATGTTTCAGAACAGAGTTTGAGGCAGTTGGGTTAATTCAAGGTCACTGAGTAAACACATCATCATTCTATGTTGTGGCTATAGCCTTTCTTCCTCAACAAAACTTGAAAACTGAATCAATGAAAAATGCCAACATCTACACAAATTAATTAAGAAGCAATTCTGAAAAACTAGACTTTATTCTCCAATAAAGTCAGCTCTTCAAATCCCATTGTTTAGCCAGGAGACTAAGTTTTTAGAAATAAATCACAGCAAAGTACACACTCTCAGTGGTTTGGTCATAAATTATGATTGTTTGTGAACTGCTTCCATTTACTAAAAGGATCTGGCAAGAGACATTGGGCCTGCTCAACTCACAAAATATATTAAAATGCTCTAGATAAAGATTACCTTTTGGGCCTGATATTTATTGCTACTTCACTTGCATAGGAAGAACAACTTAAAAAAACCAAACTTAAAATAAAGAAAAAGGCAATGCTCAATTTACAATGTGGGTTTTCATCACAGTGCCTTTGGAAACAATGCTACTTATGAAATTATAAATTTATTATATTTCAAATAAAAGAAGGGAACCAATTTTTCCCTTTATTTCTTTAGTTGCATGGGGTATCTAACAGTAGATATTATGTCGTTGAAAAATAGTTCATTTCCTAATGTAGAGTTATACAGATGTAGTACTTCCAATCTCTTCCTTTTCTCTTTGGTAAAGAAAAAAAAAACACTCATTATTTTGCCCCTTGTCTATTATTTTTCATTATATTAACAGTTATAGTCAGAGCTATATTAATCAGAATTTCCATCTTAAAACCAGGATTTAGTTAAAAGGGAATATGCTTAGCATTAACCATCATTAAGACTGATACAAAAATAATGGCTGTCAGTCAGCCACTAACACAGTAAAATATTCTTACTGGTGATTCTACCAGAGTGTAATCATACTATTTATTAACTAAAAAAAATCACTATTTGGGGAACTTTTTCCAGGAAGCTCTCATTATCCCAGGAATTTTTCTATCAGGAAAGTATTTCAAGCCTTAGTGACATCACCAGCCCAAAAGAACAGAAATAGAAGGGAAAATATAGCAGGCTCATGGAAGAAGCCCCATTTGCCAGCTGTGCTGAGCTCCAGCTATTTCATGGCAATGATAGAAACTTTGGCACATACATCTGTGAAATGTCCCTTGGCATTGAAGAACATGAAGTACCATGCCATAGTATAATTTCCTGTTGTAGAACTTGGGACCGTGCTCCTCGGGTTCATGGACATGAATGTGGGTGGAATTCAATCCCTTCCCCATTTGGAAGAAACACAGTTCCTAAAAGATGACCGCTCCCAACACTGATGTCTATGGCTGCTGTCAGAAAATACCATTCAGCATGTGCACCATCTTGTGGAAGATCACACAGGGTGCGAAATACCTATGCCAAACACTGTGCTGAGGGGGAACAATCCAGTGCATAACTGCACATTTCTTTTGAGACATGGTTTGGACACTTTGTTCTGGGAGGACAGGAGCCATAGAAGTAGGCTGAAACCCCTTTATGGCTTACTGCTTATGCTACATATCACTCATGATGGTGATGCAAAGGATCACAGGTAGGTGCTCTGTAGGTTCCATAGTGTCTTGAGTTCTCTAGGACCAATAACCATGGAGCTACGGGAGTTTCATGGGGCTCTGCTCTACCTGGATGGCTTCCTCCTCATAGTAGGATTACCTGGAAGTCACTAGAGTGTATGTGTGTGTGTGCATGCATGTGCACAGGCAGCAGGAGGCTTGATAGACCTCTGCCACCTGTAAGTCCTAGGGAGGCATATTCAGTCATATTCAGGATTCCAAGGATCTTGTCTTTTCCAGGCAATTTTTAGACTCAACTCCTTTATTGGGAAAACGAGTGAGTGGTGCTAGGCAACTGCTTCCACTTTTGACTAGGTTATGTTGTTCATATGACATGGGGACAGGGAAGGACAAACCTGAAGTTGTTTGGGATTAAAACTGTCCCTCCATAATCCCATTGTTGGCTTAGTTCTTTGATCTGGTTCTTTAACAGAGGTGTGATGACATTATAAGCATAGGAGCACATGTTCAGTTGCACTGTGTAAGTTGCAAAGACACTATTATTGTTACCACCTGCTTTTGGAACCTTATTTAGCTATCAAACCATGAGAGAAGGAAAATGAATTAATGGCATTAGCACTTACATTCCAAAAGATCTGCTAATGTTTTTGTTCGCAATGCAACAGGCCGCTTGGTCTTATCATTAGTAATGGCAAACTCCTGCATGCCCAGTTCTTCTGCCACTTTGGCTTGTGTCCTGTTGTTGACCAAAGAGCTTCGCAACAACTGCCAAGACAAGAGATTCCACTCAGGTAAATATCCATGGAATGCTGAGGAGCAATACTAGATCTTTAGCCTAGATACATACCATGTTGCTAGCCTTTGCTTGACTAAACGAAAACAAAGAAATATTATAGTTTACTGCTTACACAACATGTCACTCATGTTGTAGAACTTGGGACTGTGCTCCTTTGGTTCATGGATGTTCTCCTCCTGTTTTTTTCCAACAATTTTTAAAAGAATGCATGAATAGAAATGAGGTACACACTCTGATCCCATCCCCTCTTCCCTTAACTTCCTCATGCTGACATGGAAGCTCTACAGCATTCACCTCACTGCACACCTTCAATCAACCTGTAAGGGGTGGAAGAAAAGGAGTGGAAGCAGGGTTCAGGTGCTCCCCAAATATACAGGTATTCCCTTTTCTTTCCTGGCCTGAGAAAAGCAGAATGATTTGTGCTGGTCCTGCAATAAATACTTTTATTTACAATAAATATCAAGCATACTATCTGCACTATATATGTTCTCTTTTATTAAGTAAGATAAAGGTAAAAAAACACCCACCCAATCAAATGTTAATTATCTTGGTACATAGTCAACAGAAGCTCCTCGCAACTCTTTTTAGATTAGCCAGTCTAGTCCAGTAGTTCCCAACCATTCCAGGGAAAAAGGCACATTTGAATATTGAGATCATATCATAGTTGCCCAAAGAACATGGCTATCACCAGGGAAGCTTGCCCATTTGCAAAAGAGATGGACCAGTAAGTGAGGCCAATCACAAAATACCAATTGACCACAAGACAGACTGGGGAGGTTGATCCCTCCCATTTTCTCTAGCTGTCCTCCCCAAATAGACACTATGAAGCCCCAGACTATCTTTTCTGGACAGGTGATGGAAACATTTGCCCCCAAAGCTATGGACTGTAGCCATTCACATTTTTAAAAAATTATCTAAGAAAGCCTATCAGCCCAAGGGGATTCTTGACAATGCTTTTTAGTTTCTGGCTAAAATTAAAATAAGCTTCATTTTTAAAAGTTTTGAATGGAGGCTTGTAAGCAAATATGGAATTTTCTGCAGGTATGTTGGTACCTGTGGGCACTACGTTGGGCACACCATATTAATCCTGTCATCTGTACCCTAAATTATGCCTAGTTGTAACTCAAGCTAATGGAAATAGCCCAGCTGCATGAAATGCAATTTGAAACTGAATTCTTGTGATCATGGTTACAATGAAGCACTTCATCAAGTTTGAACAACAGTGGCAAATCATGTTTAATCAAAGCACAAGAAAACTTCTTTATTTCTCCTCACAGTCATATAGGAGAAAGGAACATGTGGGAAGTCAGGATTACCTAGGTTCATTTTGTAACTGCTTAGCCACAGTTTAATGTACACTGAAAGTAATCCATAGCGTGCCCTGCTACCTTGCATTCAAAACACAGAGAGCTACTTAATGACTTGCTAATTATGAAAGTGTCTAAGAATACTGCTTTTAGCCATTAAAGGGAAGTTGCAAAAATTCTTAAGCTGAAGATTTATTATTTTCATATTTGATTCTGCAAATGTTACTATGGCTTTGGCTAATTGAGCAGAAATACTTTTAAAACATATAATCCTCTAATACTGGACAAAATGAGTTGGTCCCCAACGTGTCCATTGTGAGAGGATAGGGGGGTTTTTTGAGGGGGGGTTGTTTTTTTTTAAGAAATGCAGCCATCTATGGCAATGAGACTCAAGAACTAGTTGACAGGAAAAGAGGCAAATGTCCTAATTAACAGCAATAACTTTCCAAAAGAATAAGCACATGATGTTCTTGGGATTATTTCTGCTGTGAATCAAAGCAGAAATGTTGAAATTTGCATAGGATATGAAGAGTGGATGACTCGCTAAGAAGGTGAAATTTCTACAGAAGACTGAAAGATATGGGCTGTATTTGAGAGAACACAGTAATACTGCAAAATGGAAAGTAATGTGCACATGACACAGAAAAACAACTTTCAGAAAACTATTTCCATTTGATTCGATAAAACACAACTCGGGGAGGTGTCAGCCTGTCAGTAAGGAAGTAACATATAACATGTTCAAAATCAGATGGAGCTATAACCCCAATTATGGTTATAAGAGGTCCTGGATATAAATTAGCTCAAGGGAATCAAAACAGAAAGGGAATAGGGAGGTGTGTTTCTACTTTCAAACAAAAAAAGTCTGTGTTAAACTTTAAAACATTTTGCCTTTTCAACTAAAGGTTCAAATATCATATGGCACATACTGAGCACTTAGCACTCAGATATTGGTGGGCATCTGCTTTCTTTTCTTTTTAAAGGATAGTGATAGTCAAGGAGGGTGGCTGATGAAGGGGTATTAGGTTTGATTTACAGATCACACACTATCACCAAACTCTTAAAAAGGATTCACTGTCTCCTTTAATGAGGAAAAAGCCAAGAGTTTCACCTTCTAATTAATGCAAAGACAGCCAATTGTATCTTAGTATCTCAGGTCAAGGGTAGGCATCCTGGTACCTTCAGGATGTTTGTATAGTCCTTGCTTAATGATCACTTGTTCAGTGGCCATTCAAAGTTACAATGGCACTGAATGAGTGGCACTTACAACCAGCCCTCAGAGTTGTGGCTGTTGCAGCGTCCTCACAGTCACATGATTGCAATTCAGGTGATTGGTACCTGGCCTACATTTCCAACCGTTGCAGCATCCTGCAGTCATGTGATCACCATTTGTGACCTTCCCTGCCAGCTTCCCACAAGCAAAGTCAATGGGGA